AGATAATAAGTGTGTGTCTTTTTTCAATAAGTTTATAGACTTTCAAAACTTTAACAATCAAGTAAAATTTGAAAAATGGTATGTATGGCGTGTAAACATTGTTTATGTGGCATTTAAGTTAAAAAAGAAGAGGAGTGAAAATAAAGAAACGAAAAGGAAATTCTTTTAAAAACTTTTTATTATTATTAATGAAGATGTCTAAGTTAATTTATGCATATCTCAACTAATTTTACAGGTTTTAAAGTTAATGATAATATAAGTTTTCAGTGGTTATAAGATTCGTGAGACTTGAACCAATGATATCTCGAAAACAAATTTAGAGTTTGACCAATTAAATTATACCCTTTTGGGTTCTAAAAACTATTTTTACATATTATTGACATCATTAATGTTTTATATTATTGCTTAATATATATGTTACAAGTTATAAACATCATGGTTTGAATAAAATCTCGATAATGTTTTTAGTTTTCATGCCATGCATATTTGCTTTGTAAAAATAACTTGATTGTTATAATTTTAAAGATCTATGCATTTAAAAAAAATCGTTTTTGACATGTTTAATTGTAATAAATCTCAAAATATATATACTTGTTGTGTTGTTTTTAGTTCCTGTTTATAAAAAATTTTCTTTTAACGCTAGGGAACAAAACAAGAAAGGAAGGAAGTATGGGAAATATTTTCCACTTTCCTAGATAAACATATATCTTAATTTTCACCATAAATTCTACTGGTAATTTATTTTTGAATTGAATAGTATACCATGAAGAAATTAAGTATTTACATCTAAAAACATTAAAAGAAACTAAAAGAGGTATTTTTTTTTATTATTGTCTATCTACACGCATAATATTATAGATGGAAATAATATTTTTTAATTTTTAATATCATCCTTAAACTTTTATTTTGTACAATTTAATTTTTTTAAGCTCATATTAACACCCAATTATATATTTTTTAAGAATAGAGGGTTCAATTGATTAAAGTGAAAAAAAAATTTGAATGGAAGCTAATTTGAAATTTATTTTAAAAGTTTGTTTTTATCTCTTATCCTTTTGAGCTATCAAGTAACCAATCCATGTAATTTTTAAAAGTTCAATTTTGATATTTTGATACTAATTTTTAATTTTATTTATTTTTCAGTTGGTTTTTATAGGGAGAGAGAGAGGAGAAGAGAGTGTCATTGGATTTTTAATTTAATTTTTTTAAGCTCATATTAACACCCAATTATATATTTTTTAAGAATAGAGGGTTCAATTGATTAAAGTGAAAAAAAAATTTGAATGGAAGCTAATTTGAAATTTATTTTAAAAGTTTGTTTTTATCTCTTATCCTTTTGAGCTATCAAGTAACCAATCCATGTAATTTTTAAAAATTCAATTTTGATATTTTGATACTAATTTTTAATTTTATTTATTTTTCAGTTGGTTTTTATAGGGAGAGAGAGAGGAGAAGAGAGTGTCATTGGATTTTTAATTTAATTTTTTTAAGCTCGTATTAACACCCAATTATATATTTTTTAAGAATAGAGGGTTCAATGGATTAAAGTGAAAAAAAAAAAATTGAATGGGAAGCTAATTTGAAATTTATTTTAAAAGTTTGTTTTTATCTCTTGTCCTTTTAAGCTATCAAGTAACCAATCCATGTAATTTTTAAAAATTCAATTTTGATATTTTGATACTAATTTTTAATTTTATTTATTTTTAGTTGGTTTTTACAGGGAGAGAGAGAGGAGAAGAGAGTGTCATTGAATTTTGGTATAAAAAGAAAAAAGTTGTTGTTGGTGACAATATTGACCACAAAAGTTATTGTTATTTGTATCAAATGGTTCCATATAAAAAAGAAGAGTTCAAATTAGGTGTTTGTTTACCTTGAGATTTTAAATTTTAGGTCATTTCTTTGTATTTTTTAAGGCCATGGGTTGGTTTAGCAATGTTCATATGATGTTTTTTTTCATGTATTTTAAGTGAAAAAAAAAAGGATTGAAATTGGGTTTACTTATAAAAAAAACTCTAGGATCTTGTTTTTTTTTACCATCACAACAACTAGATTTTAGGGATTCTCAAATAATATGTCATCTATTGATGCGATGATGTGTATTTTTTTCAAATAATTAGAGTTAATGACATGTTGTTTGATCTATTAACTTTAAAAACTAAAAAATCGCACATGGGAATTTGTTTAATGAATCAAATGTTAGGGCCGGTTTACAAGCTTGATAATGCTTGGTCGAATTTAAAAAAAACAATTGTATTTTTTTAAGTATTACCTTATCTAGTATGTATTTTTTTTTGAAATAGTTGTGGTGTGCATGATTTAATAAATACCTTTTTTTTGGTGAATTTTCCCCTTGTTTATCTTTTTTTAAATTATATTTTTTTTAAATGATATTGAGTTTGTTTGATTTTTAAAGAGATAGACATGATTATTCTATGATTTTTTTTATATATAAATTTTGATTTTTCATAATATTTTTAATATATCCAGCCTTATATAATATTTTTTTTATTTTATTTAATAAATTTTATATGTGTTTTAGTTCCTATTAATAATTTATCTTGATAAACATACTCATTAAACATAACCAAGTAAATTACATGTGTTATAATATTAGATATCTTTGATTTATATTTATTTTTTAGTTTTTTAATTTTGTTTTTGTTTATTGCTGATGACTATTTTTTTTATTTCTTTACACAATAACATTTGATTTGTTTGGTTAGAAATGTGCATAAACTTTTAAATTTACATAAGGGTTTTTATGTAAAAAAAGAAATTGGAAAATTTTGCTTGTTCAATATTTTTATTATTATCATGTTTTGATATTTTAGATTTGATTCTTATGCTTATAATTTTTAATTTTTTCCCTCTACTCTTTCATAAAAGATTTATTTTTTTAAAATTTTATTATTCAATCAAAGTTTACATTATGTTGTTTTTTGTTTATTTTTCATCTTGATCTTTAATTTTTTGATTTTTAATATTATTTTTATTCTTTCAATTTAATTCTCAAATTAATTTTTTTGTCACCCCTTGATTGATTAATTTAGTGTTTCTGGGAGTTTTATCATCATTATTTTTATTGCTATGTTTTATTTTGATTAATTTTAACTTTCATAATTTTTTGTACCTTGGCAACCAAAAATGGCATTGTCGATTTACAACATGATCACGATGCTCTAATGGCATCTCCGAATTTCTACCATGGCAGCCACAAAAGGTATTGTTTGGCTATTTTTCTAAAACCTAAAATTATCCCAGAAAAATATGACATCTAAAATTATAAAATAACAAATTTACGAGCTTGGAATCACTCTACATGCATCTAGAATATCCCAGTCATTAATATTTATAAAAAAAGTGACGCCAGCCATTCTATTCTAATCTTAGTAGTTCAGATGAGTTATTTACTTTTCTGCCCGAAATAATTTACCCCTCGGCCTCCTCCTGTACAGTGGGTTTTGCACCTCAAGTTACCCATGGAATTTTCTTTGCTCGTAATTTGAAAAAAAATAAAAAATAAAAGAAAATCAGTGTGACCACGTGTCAATCGGCCATGCAAAAATAAACAAACGACAGAATATACGAAAGACTTTTCCTGCCCACTGATCTGCACACCACGCCGCGTTTCGCTAACTGTTTAAAAAAACCAGCGTGCGCCGCTTCTAGTTCTTGCTTTTAAACTCGGCCCGGTGGTCGGCCCGGTCCAAGGTTCGGGTTCTGGGTTTTGACCGGGTCACTGGATTTTAACCAGGTCGGCCGAGTCGGCCGGGTCAATTTTTATTTTTTTAAAAAAATTAAAACAACGTCGTTTTAGTAAAAAAAATTAAAATCAACGGGTTGCAACCGGGTTTTTGACCAGGTTTTACCGGGTCGTCTGGGTTTCCGAATCAACCTGTTAGGTCATCCGGGTCACACTGAATCATGACTTATTTTATTTTTTCATTAACTCAACCCGGTTCCAGCCCCAGATCAGCTGGATCCCCGGTTAATCCACCGAGCCAAGCCAAATTTTAAAACTATGGGCAAAACATCTCTTCTATCACCAATCAAACGGCCACTTCGCCGTCTCTTTCACTGCAATAAAAATATCTCCAAGAAAGTATACTACCACTACTAAAAAAATCTAATCCTTATCCACTTAAGGCAAGGTCCCCTCGACTGCACTTTTCACGGCTATTGGTGTATTTAGTCCCCTTACTTTTAAATTTACCCATTACGATCCCCTTAATAGTTTTTATATTAATTTCATCCCTTAAACTTTATTTCATACTAATATATTTCTTCTTTCAATTGCAACTGAATGAAAATATATCACACTGTTATTGGGTTCAAATTAGTACAATTGTTTTTATTAATTTAATATAAATTTCCTGATTTTTTTAAACTTGTGAAAACAAATATAATTCATACTATTAACATATATTTCATAAAAAACAATTATGATGTAAATTCATCTATTTTTTATATTTTTATTCTATTATCAATGTTAAATGTAATCAAGGAAAGATGTGAAGTGGGAGGGACAATAAGATATTTAATTCTTTCAAATATTTTACAATAATTTTTTTAATATTTATAATAAAAATAAAAAGAATAGTTTTTATCTTTAAAAGAAAAGAGTATGTATTAACAACCTTTTTACTAGCTAACATGAGTGGCTGGAATATGATATTAATAACATATTTGAGATTGTGGTAAAAATTATTTATTATTTTAAAATATTTTAAAATAATAAATATTTTTTAAATTTATTTTTAATATTTTTATATTGCTACAATTAAAAAATATTAAAAATAAAAAATATTTTTTTAAAAAATACAGTGAAATTGCAAAAATAAAGACTACTTGATTATAGAAATAAGAAGAAGATGGATGATACTCGTATAAAAAACATTAAAAGGACTAAACTGAAACAAAACTACGACTAAGGACACCACCAAGTAGATCATCATCACTCTCCCCTTTTTCCACAGTATTTAGCACCCTGTCATCCCATGATTCTGTCTCTCAAGCCTTATCTAAAACACTCAACCTGAAGCTCTCTCTGTGATCCAAAACTACAACCAAGAAACCAAGAGACTATTGTTTTGATACAATGATAAAATCACTTCTCTCACGTTCATTTCCTTCTCCTTTACTCATAGAAGCCCGAGATGTTAATCGTTCTAGCAAGAAAGTTGTTTCTTCTACCATTACATGTTCTTCTTCAAGAAGCGATGATGCTTGTAATATTCCTAAACTCGACCCCTTTAGCCGAACCAAGATTGAGCGAGCTATTAAATCACCACCCCTGATTCAAAAATCCGAGAACGAACTTGCTGGTAATTGTTTTAAACTTGATCTCTTACAATTTTTTTGATTCTTGATTCTCTAAAGACCATGACATGATGATTTTGTGTTTCTTTTTTTATTTAAGGTTCGATCTTTCGATTTTTTATCTGATGCAATGATTTTCTTCAAGTCTCGTTCGTTTCTTGATTGGAATCTTGTATGTTTTATATCACATGGGCTGTTTTCTTGATTTTAATGAGGTTCTGTTACTTATGTTGAAATATTTGAATTTGTTAGTTTGGATGTTCTTTATTGATATTGGCTATTAGTGATGCCAACAGTGTAAATATGGTGTTTTTGTATGCAGATTATTGTTCAACCCTTGAAGGGGATGATTCTTATAGCTGCTGGAGAGCTTATTTTGAACTGAAAGATCTTGAAGTAAGTTACATATAGCATTGATCATTGAAATCTAGAGTGAAAGGGAAGGTTTGAATTACAAGTTTCATTTATATTAATCTCTTGATATTGAGGTGAGTTTGGTATATGATAGCCGTGTAATGGCATAGAAGGATCCATATAGGCGACCCAATTAATTTGGGATGGAGGCTTTGTTGTTGTTGCTGTATTAATTCAATAACTAATCTTAACACAAGCAGCCAACGAGTTAACTGATTCCAATTTGATTGAGCTGGTTCATTGGCTTGCTAGGAATCAGTTTATCAATACTGATATGTTCTGTTAAAAGTTGAGGGATAAACTTAAAAATTAGAGAAAATCCAATATGTATCAAGTACTTGAGAACCATTAAGTAAAGTCTTAACAAGTTGTGATGCGCTGCAGAGAGAGTCACCGAAAGAGGATGTAGAGAGGCTAATTATCCAATCTGGTGGTGTTAAGTCATTAATTGGGTGCTTACATGGAATTTCATCAATGCACAAAGGGAAAAAGAATGCTTTCAGTATGGCGGCACCACCGAATGTGATGAAAGAAAGAGAGAGACTGTGTCCAATACCAGATGGTTTGCCAAAATCGCTGGAGGAGCTTGAAGAGGAAGAAAGAGCTAGAATGCCGGATTCACCATTTACTAGAATGCTTAGAACTAAAGGAAGGTTCCCTGCTTGGTACTCTCCTGCTCCGGACCACGAAACAGATTGATTAACAAGTTGTGTCGTGTTGCATGCCTGTGCTCGGTTGCTTCTTTGCATACCTTGTATGCATGGATGTGGTGTGAATATGTGAAATTTCTATAGATGATATTGATTCATATGGTGTTTATATACTCCGGGATTTTTATCTGATCGTCGTTCGTCGTTTCTTCAGGTTGCGTCATGGGAAGTTCTTAGTGCTAGACAATCTGTTTGCAACATTCAATGTCTGCAAATTTTGTAAAAATTTGTTTCACGGGTTAAGAAGAAGAAATTATTTTTTGTTTTTCTTAATATTTTTGCGAGTTTTTGAGCATTAATGGATGCGAATGAAAGTGTTTTCTTTTTGTGGAGTTGGATTTTCCAATAAACTGTAGTTTTTTCAGTTTTGCATTGAACCTTTATTATCTGTTTTATGTATATATGCATTTGACTAGGGTGTGCCCAAAGAAGATTAAAATGATTAGCTTTGGTATTCAGCATTTAAGAGAGATAAACCACGCAAAACTTTCATTAACTTAAGAGCAGTTTAATGCCTAATATCTTGTCATATTTCGAGTTCTCCCTTCTGGGCCAATTTAATCAGGTCCCGATGTTTCCATGCAGCGGTGAATTCGAAATCAAATGTTTCAAGTTATATTGAAAAATTCCTACTTAGTTGTAGGATAATAATACAATTTGTGCATAATGGTTACTCGATGTTCGTAAGGGGGCATTCTGTTACAAATCTCTGGGAAGATGGAACGCAGGGGACAGTATATGCTACTCCAAAATAGCTCTTGCAACGCATTTGATGCAAACTACAGGGTTGTGCTCTTACCATTCCTATCGCTACCATGTCAATCTTACTTTCTTTCCCAATCCTAACAGCCTTAGTGCAGCTCGGAGGAAAGTAAGAAGCCATAACATTACTTTCCATGACAGCACGTGGAGGAGCAGAGGTATTTTTTTTTCCCCTCATCATCAGAAGAAAAAGAAAATAATCATGTTAATTCGACAAGAGATTCTCGCGTCCATGGTGGCAAAGGGATCGAACTCTTAGTAGTTCCTCACATCACTACCAATAAACCCATCTGAAATACCACAGGCACCACACAAAGATCCATTGTTACTATAAAAATAACGTAGATGAAGATGGTGACACCTGTTCTCCAAAATGGTTCTTCTCCAGTATTTAAGGTGTTATTTTGGTACCCAAGATTAGTTACAGATTGACATGGTCAATTGGTAGTTTTTTAGTTATTCTTAGTTTAGTTTCATCGAGTCATGTTCCCCACAATCCAAGCAAAACCTATGCTCTAATATTAGAGGTGCAGCCAAATTCCTATGGTGTCAATAAACTGCATAAATTTCGGGTGCCTAAAACTGGAGATCTCTTTCCACAACCTCTCAATGGCTGTCAAACCTTTCCTTTCTTTTCCTTGATATAACATCCTTCTCACATTCATTCCCTCCTATAAGCAGCCTTGGGACTTCCAAGGTAGTCAGTAATGGCTGAACCTCTCAGAGTCTTGGGCTGCTTTTTCTTTTTTTCCTTTCTCTCATCTTCTTTCTCAAACTTCTCTCTTGCCCTAACTGATGCTGAAGCATCTTCTATTGCTCGTCGCCAGCTATTGACATTACATGAAAATGGTGAACTTCCCGATGATTTTGAGTATGAGGTGGATGTGAAAGAAACCTTTGCAAACCAAAGGCTCAGGAGGGCATATATTGGTCTCCAGGCTTGGAAAAAGGCAATGTACTCCGACCCGTTTAATACAACTGGCAATTGGGTTGGCGCCGATGTGTGTGCTTATAATGGTGTGTTTTGTGCACCGGCTCTTGACGACTCTGGTCTAAGCGTTATGGCAGGTGTTGATCTTAACGGTGCTGATATTGCTGGGTACCTTCCAGCTGAATTGGGGCTTTTGACAGATGTTGCCTTGTTCCACATTAACTCTAACAGGTTTTGTGGAATCATTCCCAAGAGCCTTTCCAAGCTCACACTCATGTACGAGTTTGATGTCAGCAACAACCGCTTTGTTGGTGACTTCCCTTCTGTTGTTTTAACCTTGCCAAGCCTCAAGTATCTTGACATCAGATTCAATGATTTCGAAGGTAGTTTGCCTCCAGAACTCTTCAACAAGGACCTCGATGCTTTGTTCTTGAATGACAACCGGTTCACATCCACCATTCCGGAGACAATAGGCAACTCCCCAGTTTCTGTAGTCACATTTGCGAACAACAAATTCACTGGCTGCATTCCACACAGCATCGGCAAGATGACCAACTTGAACGAGGTCATCTTTATGGGCAATGATCTTGGTGGTTGCTTCCCAGCGGAAATTGGGCTGCTTAGTAATGTGACTCTGTTTGATGCCAGCCACAATGGGTTCGCAGGAATCTTGCCGTCCAGCTTTGCAGGGCTAAAGAAGGTTGAACTCTTGGATCTTGCAGACAACAAGCTGACAGGATTTGTGCCTGAGAACATTTGTAGGTTGTCAAGCTTAACGAACTTCACATTCTCGTATAACTACTTCAAGGGGGAGGCTCAAGCCTGCGTGCCTCCATCGAGGAAGGACACCGTGTTGGATGATACCAGCAATTGCCTTTCTGACAGGCCAAAGCAGAAGTCAGCCAGGACATGTTACCCAGTGGTGAGCCGACCTGTGGATTGCAGCGAGGACAAGTGTTCTGGAGGAGGAGGTTCTTCGAACCCCCATCCAAAGCCACAACCCACACCACCTACTCCAGAACATAAACAAACCCCATCTCCACCTGAATCTACTTCTACTCCAACACCATCATCACCAACCCCTGCCCCTCAAACACCAGAATTACCAAAACCAGAACCTAAGTTACCGCTGGCTCCAGTTGAACCAATTAGTCCATCAACACCAGAGGTATCCTTACCACCATCCTTTTCAATTAGTCCATCAAGTCCGGAGATATCCTCACCACCATCTTCATCAATTAGTCCACCTACCCCATCATCGGACCCATACAATCCAGGATCGAGCGGGCATGGCCAGACACCACCATCACTAAAGTCTGCACCGTCACCCGATCCATTTAATTATTCACCAGTTGGGCATAGTGAAACACCACTATCAATGAAATCTGCACCATCACCTGATCCATTCAATAATTCACCAGATGGACATGACGAGATACCACAATCACCAGAGTCTGCACCGTCACCCGATTTATTCAATAATTTACCAAATGGGCACGACGAGATACCACTATCACCGGAGTCTGCACCGTCACCCAATCCACTCAATAACTCACCAGATAGGCACAACGTGACACCACCATCACCGGAGCCGTCACCAGATCCATTTAATAATTCACCAAATGGGCACGACGAGATACCGCCACCATTATCTGAGATATCTATACCACCATCACCCTTAATTAGTCCACCAACATCGGAGAAACATATACCACCATCATCAGAGTTTGCTCCATCACCTGATTCTTATAATTTACGATTTGGCGGGCATGATGATACACAACCATCACCAGAATCTGCACCGTCACCTAATTCATTTGATAATTCATCAATTAGGCATGACAAGACACCACCACCATCATTTGAGATTGGTATACCACCATCATCCTTATTTAGTCCATCAACTTCAGAGAAACCTATACCTCCATCACCTAATTCTACACCATCACCTAATTCATATAACCTCGAACTTGGTGGGCATGATGGAACACCACCATCACTAATGCCCTCAGCAAAGCCCGAGACACCAAAACCATCACCACAACCAGAAATACCAATAGTAAATCATCATTCTCCTCAACTCCTAGTTCACTCACCTCCACCACCATCACAATCCCTATCCCCTCTAGTTCATTCACCTCTACCACTAGCACATTCATTCCCACCATCAATTCATTTCCCACCACAACTTGTACATTCACCCCCACCACCTGTATACTCTTCTCCACCACCCCCTCTGCATTCACCACCACCACCACTTATCTATTTCCCTCCACCACCAGTTTACTCTCCTCCTCCGCTAGTATATTCACCGCCACCACCAGTACACTCCCCCCCACTGCTAGTGCAATCACCCCCACTAGCACACTCTCCCCCACCACTACCGGTTTACCCTCCCCCTCCGCCAATACAATCAATCCCACCACCAGTGCACTCTCCTTTATCGCCGGTACAATCAATCCCACCACCAATGCACTCACCTGCTTCATCACCTATACACTCACCCCCGCCACCTATGCAATCTCTCCCTCCACCACCTAAAAACTCACCCCCACCCATAAACTCACCCCTGCCACCCGTGCAATCTCTCCCTCCACCACCCGTGCACTCCCCCCCACCACCAGTTAGATCACCTCCACCTCCAATTTTCTCTCCACCACCAGTAATTGTATCTCCTCCTCCACCTCCTCATGCTTTTCCTCCACCGCCCCCGAAAGAAGACCTGGTCCTTCCACCAAACCTCGGATTCCAATATGCATCACCACCTCCACCGACGTTCCCAGGCTACTAATTAGCATACATGACCATTGTTTGTAGTTCCAAAAGGCTAACGTACGCCGCTGAAAATAAACTTGGGTACTTCAACTTCTCGACGAGGAAATATAACGTTTCCCCCCCTCTTCATGGAATGGAAGTTCTTGTTGTTTACGTTACCAGAGATATGTCTCTTCCATTTTCTCTCTCTCTCTCTATCATATCTAAGCAAAAACTGAGGAACTGGAACAATATGTTGCTAACTTGACAGTGACAGTGATTTGCTTGTAAACTACATTTTCAAGGATCTGATATACAGAAGAGAATAACATAATTTTTTTTCCTTGTCAATGCCACATGACTGGTTTTTGTACTTGGTGGTGTGCATGCCATCAGAATTTCATGCAAGGTATTCCTGTGGAATGAAAGATCATAGCTAATTCACCAATGCTTTTTCTTGCATTTTGATTGTAATTTTGACAATTTCTCTGGCATATATGTAACCTCATTTTCAGACTGAAATCGAAGTGCCAACGTAAGCAAATAAAAAAATAATAATCCTGGTCTTCATTTCCTGAAGCATCTGCATCATTCGATCCTCGAAACGCCTGCTTTTGGAGTAAAATGGACTCCTTCTCTTCCTAAACCATAATAATTGATGGCTGGTTAAGTTTCTAGATCATCCTGCAGGGTGCCTTTCAGTTTAAGCGTAGTCTATCGAAGAATAGAGACTGATCATTAATAGATGTTCAACTACATATACATTGTTCTCCATTAAACATTTCAACACAAGTTCAATTTCTTTGATATATATGAAATCCTTGCAAGTAAAAATTTATCTTCGATCGTGAACAAGATCATTATACTATTAATAGGAAATTTAGAGGTTACACTGATTATTACAGGTTACAAGATATAGTCAACAAGGGAGTGATAATCTGACAACACAAACCCACCCACATCCATAGCTGGATAAACTTAGCAAACCAAACACAAGACATGGCAGCGAGAAAATTGAACCATTGTGCTCGATATCCTTGTTATAGGTAACATAAAAAAGGCTGGTTCCATAATTTGTCCTAGTCTGGGAAATTTATCAGCTACTGTGCCTTTTCTATTTGGTAAAGATCAGCTATTGTGGTTGATCTGATGGAGGATGGAGATGACCTTAGAACTTGTCAAAGGCTTCTCCTGATAATAATCTAGGCCAGCATCCATAAATTCTTGTATTTCTTGCCCGAGGGAACGTGTTGATACGCCTACAATAATGCTACGTATGCCCAGGGCACGGAGTTCCCTTGTTGCCTGCCATAAAGAAGAGAAAATGTTTTTTAACTTAGCTTTGATACTATGAAATTGCTTTGATACTGTGAGACAAGAGTATGGTTAAATCCCCCTGGAATGAAATCATGCTAAAAAAATGTATTGTACTTAATATTGAATGTTTAATATTCGATATACCTCGATCCCATTCATGATAGGCATTTCCCTGTCCATCACAATGAGGTCAAACTTTTTGCCTGAACAATGGAGGTCAACAGCTTCCTTTCCATTGGCAGCAACGTGGTTTTCGATTCCCAACTTACTCAAGAGCTTACTATGAATGGTTTTAATGATTCTATCATCATCGACAACAAGTGCAGTTATCTTGGTTCTGCCATTGCTTGTTGCCATCTCGTTTCTCTTGTTTAGTGCCAAAACCAGTTGAAGCTGATCTCCTATAGCTGCAGAACAAGCCATTATAAGGTCTTAAATAGATGAAAATCATCAGATACGTTTTAAACCATCTACAAGATGTGATTATCCTTATTTTAGATGGCCATAATGAAAGACGTTTCCACAGAATATCTGCAATGTTCTGCTGAGAAAGGATAACAACACACTGTAAAGATATGCATGCATGCACCAATAATTCCAACCTGCTTTAGTTTTTCTCTTTTACCCTCCGTAATAACAATTTAGTTAATCAAATCTTGTTACTCCTTGTAAGATAGCCAACGATTTGTTGTGTGAAACAGCATTTTGAAAACAATATCATTTTCTTTCCCTTTGGGAGTTATATATGCTAGGTCCTTGCTTTGCATATCTGAATCACAATCTAGCATGCAATATTCTCTTGTTTGGCTAAAAGTTACCCATTATAAAATATTTTATCTTTCAATTATATCCAATATGGAATAATATAATACTTCAAGAGCAGATGATTATTGCATTTTTTTCAGGCTTCCATTCCAGTGAAAACTTAAAAGTGAAGCAACTGCTACATGTTTGATTAAGTTTCGGTAATCAATTAAACGCCACAGATTTGCATGCCAGAATTGATGCAACCAATTCTACATATTCCTCTCTCTATATTCTAATTATTCATCATATCTTGGTTTAGACCTCTGTATTTGAACCTTTTCTAAAGACCGGTCCTCATCTTCTCATTAAAGTTGGAAGAATAGTGATTTATGCCAGTTTGTTTTGTGCAGATGATGCCTAAACCCTAGCTGTGTATTCTGCTGCTAAAGTTTTGTTCCGGATACACAAGTCATGGGGTGATGCTAATGTTCATAGAATATAGTACAAAATTGAAGTGGTGGGACGGTCAGGTTGTTGTAAACCAAACTGAAGCATGGATTGGCAAGCAGTTTTTCGAAGAACCAAGTCAATCTCTCTTCCGTTGTGCTAATTATATCAATGCTTTTCAAGTTGTTGATCAAGTAGCAGCTGTTGCTAATTAACTAAATGACTCAAAACTTAAGACAAGCGAAGGTCATATTTGATTCTGATCCTGTTAGATTTGGTCACTTACAATTTATGTTATTGGGTTATGCCGGCTTGAATGGCTATTAGAGGAATGCCCTTGAATTGTTTGTTGAAACGGAAACGAAGAAGAAGTGGGATTGGGATTGATGAGTTTACTCTTACAATATAGCTAACTTTTATGCTAAGTTATGCAACTTGAATCATGGGAGGCAATTACATTCGTATACGGTGAAAACTGGCAGTGATGGTAGTGACTTTGTGGTTGGTTCTTTGATTGACATGAATTAAAAATGTCGGTGTTTTAAAGAAGCTCTTGGGTTTTTTTTCGAGATATATGAAAAAAAAGAAGAAGGATTTTATTTGGTTTCGAAGAATGCAATGGTGGCAGCATGTTGTGCAGAAGGTGAAATTGTAATGGTTGGATTGGAAGAGTGGAGATTTAATGATTCTGCTTCGTGAAATACATTGATTTCAGGTTATTTTCAAAATGGCTGTCAAATTAGCCATTGAAGTTGTTGTTTGTACGAGGGAGAATGGTGTTAAATGGAATGAGAATACTTTTGCTTAGCTTTTTGAGTGCTTGTGCTGATTTAAGGAACTTGAAGATTGGAAAAATAAAAACCATGCTAGTGTTGGAATATGAAGTTTGCAGGGTAATTGCATTGCAATGGACTGGTGGTCCTAGAAGCTTGTAAGCTTTTTAAGCCAGTCGGAGAGAAGGATTCCGTGGTTTAGACTGCCTTATTTACTGGTTATGTCAAATTGAAGCAATACAGAGCTTCGAACTTTTAAGAAAATTTATTACCAAGGAGACTGTAATTCCTGATGCTTTGATCCTTGTCAGTGTGCTTGGTGCATCTACATTCCACCTCCAAGCTGCACTTGGTCCTGAACTTGATTAAGAAGAAATATATTTACATAGAATGTGGTTGTATTCTTTTTTTTAAAAAAAATAAAAATCTTTAATTATTACAATTAGCTAACTAGTTTCATGCTAAAATTGCAACAAAATGTGAATCATTTTCTTCTTCTTCTTCTTCTCACTCTAACTCGGTATAGTGAGAAGGCAGCAACTGCAGGTATCTGATCTTGATCTTGATATTGTTCATGATGAAATAGGTAGGAACTGACTAAACTTGAAATCAGAATACTTCATGGTTATGTTGCTTGAGAGCTCGTAGGTCTAATTGGCTGTGTTGCTTTTGTTCCCAAGGTTCTCTGATTTGGAGATGAGCTCTATGAATTAAAGTTTTTGACTAGCTAGTTATGCTATGAAGATAATGAGTAGTTTAAGAAACAAAAGATAACTTCACTCCAAGCCGAACTGGGAAGTGGTGTAGTGGCTTACTTTGTTCTGATTTTGATCATTCTGAAGAACAAAAGAAACGCAACTCTCAATCAACATCCAAGTAAGGTTGGGTCTTACAACCATGTTTTCACAAGAAATCTAGAGGCACCGTCCATTAAAGAAGGCACTGCGTTTCCCTACTGAAAGTTGATAGATTTATGTGGAGAAGCAATTTGATTTCAACTATGGGCATGAACAGAACAAAACAAAACCCAACTCGCAATCAACACAGCAAGATACTGACATGCCAAAGAAGAAAGGACTTCCACTGTTCAATTAACGGTGAAAGTCCTTTTTGATTTTTCAATATTCATGTTTTTCAGATTTGGTTCCTGTAATTTCAGTGAAAACTAAAAGAGAATGAGTTTCACTGTAGTCCATTTTGATCCCTCATTTTTCATATGTTTCCAGATATAGTTTCAGTGAATTTAGAGTGGACCTTCACTGTTCAGATAGCAGTGAAAGTCCATTTTGGTCCCTCAATATTCGTGTTCTTTAGTTTTGGCCTCGATAGGAGTCATTTCATTTCAATGAAAACCAAAGAGAATGGACTTCATTGTAGTCTATTTTGGTGTCTCTATATTCATGTTTTCTAGATTTGGTCCCTGTAGTTTTGATGAACACTAAAAGAGAATGAACTTTTGCTGTTCAATTAAATAGTGAAAGTCCATTTTGGCCCCTCAATGCTTGAGTTTTTTAGATTATGTCCCCGTAGTTTTAGTAAAATTTCCTTTTAAAGACTCAATTGATAGTGAAAGTCCATTTTGGTCCCTTAATATTAATGCTCTCCATATTTGATACCCCTAGCAGCAACGTAATTCCATTTTGGTCCCTCTTTTTTCATATTTTCATATTCAACCCCCATTGTTTTCATTAAAATTTAATTTTGATCCCTTGATTTCTTCGTATTTCTTAGAGTTTGTCCATGTAGCTTTAGTTAACATGCATTCTAGTGCCTCAAATTCTCCAAGAATATATATTTTAATTATCACATAATTAAATGAAAAAACACCCACCCCGCCTCATCATGCGAATATATTAACTAATTTAAACTAATTATTTCGACCTACCCAGGACTCGATGATACATGAGCTTGGAAGATTTAAAAAAAAAAAAGAGGCTAATTATTCTTACCACTTTGCACATTTCGGCTCGAGACCTTGCATGGACTCTACATTTGTTTTCTTTTTAACTCACGGGCTAGTAAAGCAAAATCAAGATTTTCCAGGGGCCAAAATCAAATATTTTGAGAGAGAAAAATAAGGTGAGGAAAAAAAACGAAAGAGGAAAAGCTTCTTTTACGAGTCTGGTCA